AGTTTCACTTAGTTCATTGGAAAGAAAGTGTTGTGCTATTATCAGTTCCTTCTTTGTAAGAGAGAATCTTTTTTGTCTATGATTTATGCTCTAAGTAACTTTTTTTTTTCCCCAGAACCAGGAATTGAGCTCAGGACCTTGTGCTTGCCAAGCTGGCATGGTGCCACTGAACTACCCCCCCAGCCCCTCTAATTATTTTAAAGGTAATGATACACAGTGGATTAATTATTACTATTCTTATTATTTTGTTATAAATTTTTTTTATTTTTATAAAAAATTTCTAGTAATTTCCTTTTGATTTTGTCAATGACCCATTGTTTCTTCAAAACTGTTTTATTCTATCGCCATGTATTTGTATAATTTCTAAAGTTTCTTGTTCAGCTGATTTCTAGTTTTATTCCATATATAGTCAGATTCTACACCAGATATAAGTTCAATGGTTTTGACTTAGTAAGTTCAATAGTTTTGTTTTTTTGGTAACCTAACAATCCTATGTTCCAGGAAAAAATTCAGATGCTGCTAAGAAAATGCATTTGGCAGTTGTTGTGTGAAATATTCCATAACTATCCAATACAGCTGTGCAATCTATAGTACATTCCTTACATCTCTTTTCTGTTGACATACATTTGCAATACATAACAAACGTGAAGCCTCATGCACTCAACAGTAAGGCATTTGGAAGTGACTGGATCATGGATGTGTGATACTAGATGTGTTAGTTACTTTTCTCTCATTGCTGAGGCAAAATACCCAACAGCTGAAGTTGAAGGGGAACAGGTTTATTTACCACACAGTTTGTAGAGGTTTCATTCCATAATTGGCTGGCTCCAAGGCAGGGTGGCACATGACAGAAGGGTATCACAGAAGAAACAGTCCATGGTGCCCACACTGTAGCAAAAGCATCAAGAGAACCTTAACAGCATATTTCTGCCCATTTTATTTTATCTAGACTACTGGGACAGGGTGGTTCCAAACCAATTCGTGTACTGGTTTCCTAATCACAGGCCCTTAACCCCAGCATCACACATGCTAGATTCAACCATCTCTGGAAAAGCCACCTATGACCACATGACATGACTGGGATTAGTACTCTCACAGGATATTTATAGCAGGGTGTGACATTAGGCAGTGATGTCTGGTGGGAAGACTTAATTTCTTGTTGCTGGGACAAAATACCTGACACCCAAAAATTAAAGGAGGAAAGTGTTTTTGGTTTTGGGGTGGTTGTTTTTTGTCTGTTTGTTTGTTTGTTTGTTTGCAGTACCAGGGATCACACTCAGGACCTTGTGCTTGTGAGGCAGGTGTGGCACCACTGAGCTACATCCCCGGCCCAGGAAAATGTTATTTTAGTTCTGCATCCTTCCCCTCTCCCTGGCCACTTGTGACCTTGGGGGCCATGCTTACCTTGAAGAAGGCCCCTCTAAGATGGCAATTCCTACAGAGCAAGTGACTGGACAGTGAGCCCGCTTTGCATATACACACCAGCCAGTGCTGAGTCCAGCCCGACCCCCTCCATGGGACTCTCATCCTCTGGGCCAGTCTCCCCAGACCTAGCTACTGCAGAGGGAAGGACCAGAAAACCAGGGATCATCCCTATGTCCAGAGCCTGTTTTGATGGACTCAGATCAGCTTGTCCAAAGGCTGCTTACCCTGGCCTGCTGCCTCTCACATAACCCACAAGACAGGTTCTTTCCCATGTTCCCTTCGTGCACCCTGCCCCCTGACAATCTGGTGGCCCGGGCCCTTCACTGCCGAGGACCAAACTGTGCCAGTACAGTGGGCCCTGAGCCTATAGCTTCTCTCCATCTTCATTGAAATCCTGAATTGAAATTGCTTTTGAAACTATGGTTGTAAGGAGTGAAACCTTCATTTAAAACAATGGGAGCCATGGGTGTAGGTTTTGAGGGGTGTGGTCCTTAGGCAGACATGGTACGCTGCTAGACTGCTCTCTGCTTCCTAATTGCTTCAAACAGACAGGTACCCCCATGAGCACTGTCCTTGAATTGAGACACTTTGGAACAACTCTGACATGAGCTCATTGGAGGCTGGGAAGGTCTTACTACCTGTAGGCACCTTCTGGGCTTCATGTGACTCATGATTGCAGCACTAGCAGGGTTGGTTGGGGACTCTTATGCTAAGTTCAGAACTCAAAGGCTGAGTCTTCCTGAATCCTGGTCTGGGTTGTGCTGTTTTGCCTGGATCAGGGATGATGATGATCCTGGGCAGCACTTTTCAATTTGTTCAGTTTACAAATGGCTTCTGTAAAGAGAGTGGGTATTACTTTTCCTCAAGTGCTACTGAAATGCCTGTCGGATGACTATCAACCCTGGCCAGAGGTGAGCACAGGAAGCTGCTCTTTTCCCTGCAAGACAGCATGCACTGTGGAGTTAAGGAGAGAGTCTTTTGTTGGCCAGCCACATACAGTCTCTCTGAGTCCCCAGTCTTAGGGACCATGGCTCCACCAGCCCCCACAGTGCTGCTCTTTAATTGAGCTCTTGGTTCATCATTTATCTTCCTGCTGTCTCAATTTGTCTCTACTCCAGTCCTATCCTGGGAGACCAGAGGTTCAGTGTTCAATTAAAAAAAAAAAAAAAAAAAAAAAAAAAAGGTGCTGGAAAGGAAGGTTTGGTTCAGCAACGCTCACATCCAAGGAGCTAAAGTTGTGGTCCCGTTGGTCACACCATGAGCCAGAGACCATGTGCCCTCACAAGGTGCTTTTCCACATATGCAGGGTCCCACTCAGAGCTCAGTCTGAAGCAGGGATGGAGCCCACTGTTGCTCTCCTAGTTGCCTCCCGGGTCCTTGGAAGTAGACTGGGACTCCATAGAAAGGGAGACCACTGCTTGCAAGAGGTAACAGGAACACTGAAGGTGAACCAGAGCAACACATGAAGAGAAACAACTAACTGGGGATTGAAAGAAGTAGGGAAAGGGGAATAAAATCACCTGCCTAGAAATACAAGGACTTGAGGCTTGTAGTTTTTGTGTTTCTTTTTTTCTTTTCTCTTCATACTGGGGAGATGCTGCACTCAGGGGAGGCAGGTCACTGCATTGTCCCATTTCCTCTTGCTGCCAGAAATAGAAACCAGAACCTGCACTCTTAGGCAGCTAAAAGCTGAAAACAAGAGAGCAGAAGAAGGGAGAAAGAGAAAGACACTGAGAGTTAGGAAAAGAGTAAAATAAAAGACTAAATACACAACAAGTAAACAAGGATAAATTAATTAGGTGTATTTTTAATTGCACATATGTTTACATGCTTTGTCTATTTTACATCTTAGTATATAAGTTAGTGTTTCATAGCTATGATAAAAATGCTTGAGATGATCAACTTTTAGGGCACAAAGTTCTCTTTTAGCTCAGTTTTAGAGGTTTCAGTCTGTGGTCATTTTGGATCCTGACCAAGCAGAAGGTCATGAAAAACAGCACTTGGTGAAGCAAGGATGCCTGAAAGCCAGTGCAGAGTGAAAAAGTGGTCAGGGTCCCAGAATCACCATAAAGGGCATGCCTCCAATGATCTAACTTCTTCCATTAGGATCCACCTCCTAAAGGTTCACCCATCTCCCAAAGATACTATATGACCCAGCCTTTAGCATGTGGACATTTGGAGGAAGCTAAAAATCCAATCCTTGGCAGTTTCACAATCTAATTAACACATCTCATGTACATTAAACAAATTAAAGTCATATAATTTGACATAATTGAAAATCCACACTTGTATACCAAATTTCTGTAACAAATTTTATATGGAAGTAGTGTATAGGGCCAGGAATGTAGCTCAGTGGCACCATAACTGTCCGGCAAGTAGAAGGTCCTGAGTTCCATCCCTAGTACTGCCAAAAAAAAAAAAAAAAAGTAATGTATATACCACACAAATGCATCTGTTATATTGGATTGAGGTCTACCCCAGTCATTTCATCTCAAATTAAATCACTTGATAAAGGGCCTATGGCTAAATATAGTCACATCCTAATGACATTTGGGGTCCAACACCTTTGTAAGTTGATTTTAAGGGACCTAATTCATTCCATACATGCATCTTAATAAAATTATTGCTCTCTTGCCAAAATATATTCCCTATACACTTCTGAGCCTCCAGAGAAATTTGCAACAGGTTAACACATTCTGTTTTATGCTAATTATTCAGGGAGATAATTGCTTTTTCCAAGAAATATATGCCTCATGTCACTTAATGCTTCATCTCCAAAAAGACACAACTCACCCGGCAATAACCTCTCGTGTCACCATGGCCAGGTCTCTATCATGACCTCCTGCTTGAATCTCTGACCATCATAACACCCTAACCCCTTGCTTATATGCAGTCCTCACTCTATTCTCAATTACTTTCCTAATTTTTGAGTTCACATACACCAACGCCATAGCTCAGGTGATGTGTCACATAAATGGAAAAAATAAGTATGACCAATACGGAGAATATGATTTAGGCCAGGGATTTAGTTCAGTGGCAAGTGCAAGGTCCTGAGTTTGATCATAAGTACCAAAAAAAAAAGTCTGATCTGAGTTCCCATGGATGGCCACAAGAGAATGCTGGAAACAGTGCTCAGGAGAGAGACAGTGTTCAAGCACAGATAGTTTGCAGGAGATTGAGCTGGGTGGGGCTGGAGAGGGGACAAAACCAAAAAGGACCACCATGATCCTCCTGAGCGCTGCTCTGGCCTTGCTGCACAGTGTACTGAGCCCACATCCACAGGGCTTTGCCGGAACTGTTTGAGCAGGGGGCCCTCCACCAGCAGTGTGGCCAGGGAGCAGTGTTGTTGCAGGAGAAAAGGGGCGGGGGCTAGGATCATGGAGACAGTGGATGGTGGTGTTCCTGGGATCTTTGGTGGGGAGGTATGACTAGGTGACAGGCCGGAAAGTGAGGGGGGGGATGTTGACAGGCATCAAAACGAAGCGGTAGGCCAACTTCACATCCTCTTGGACTGGTGTCTCCAGGTGAAAGGATTTCAGAATCTAGGATAGAAGTGAGGACTGTATCTGGGCTGCTCAGCAGGCCCAGCATCCTGACTAGGCTGCTGCAGAAACTAAGTGCATCCACCAGACTGTGGGGAAGGAGGAGCCTATGTCCCCATGCAGACCCACCCATTCTGCCAAGAACCTACTCTACAGAGGGCCCCACCTCACCGAGATCAAGCCCCACTCTGCCACAGCACACACAGGCTCTGCCCTACTGTGCAAGGCCCCACCTTACTCTGCAAGGCCCCTCCCACCCATGCCATGCCAAACCTCTGCCAAGGCCTGCCCCATTCCCCAGACTCACCCTGGACACCCTGGCCAGTGTCCCACCCCATCCCAAGACCCTACCCCTGCTCTCTCACATGATGCAGAAACAGCAGCATCTCCACTTCTGCCAGACGCCGCCCCAGACACTGGCGCACCCCAAAGCCAAAAGCCAGGTGATGGAAAGTCTGCCTGCTGTCCAGCCAGCGTTGGGGGTTATAGCGCTCTGGACTCAGGAACACCTCGGGGTTTCGGCCCATTGAGTACAGATAAAAATGGACCAAGGTCTGTAGACAGGTGCAGAAGGGGCTGTCAAGTGCCTGAGGGGAAACTTGCAAATGGCTTCAGCAGGGGGAACCATGGGGACTCACTCACCCCAGCTGGGATGTGGTAGTTCTGAAGCACCAAGTCTGAGCTCAGGATTCTCTCCACAAACAGACCAACAGGGTACAGCCTGGAGATGCAAGACCAGAAGAGGTGTCTCAGCTATGACAGGCCTCTTCCAATCCCCTCTGCCGCCTTCTCACACAGGATCCCCAGAAGGGAAGTCAGCCTTCATCCTGACAGTCGGCTTTCATGCCCCTGCTCAGCTCAGCCAGACCTCCCTCCACATGGGCAGTGCAGGCCAAGAAGGGCATGGAGGATGGCCACGGGCCTTTGAAATGAGACCCCAGAGCAAGAGGGCTGCACCCCAAACATGAGATACAGAAGAGGAGCTGAGGTGTCACTGGTTGCCAGGAAAACCTCCTCATATCTCCACCCATCTGTGTCTCTGTCCTCAAGCCGCCTAAGCAGAGGGGAAATGGACTGGTAGGGTCGAGCTGGCACCTACCTCAGGGACTCTTTGAGGGCTGCTCGCAGCAGGGGCAATTCTGTGATAGCCCTCTGAGGATCCTGAGAAATGCTGGGCTCAGCAGCCAGACTTTCCTGGCGCAGGGCCTGCTGCACAGTGGGGTTCCTGGCCAACTCAAAGAGCGTCATCATCAAGGGGAAGGCTGTCTGCAGAAGCCAGAGGAGAAGGCTCAGACTCCACATTCCCATTCCCCTCTGCCCAGGACAACCCTGCACCCTAGACTTTAGGACTCTAAAGCCCAGTTGGACCCATGCCTTGATTCCTCAGAGAAAGGCTTCTACTTCCCAGCCCAGTCTTCACCCACATCCTGCATGAGACCTCAGCATTTAACCCTCAGCATTACTCAGTGGGGAGCCCACACTCATCAGCTTCCAATGGCTCTTCTCGCCTCTCTGTCCAAAGACCTCAATGTATCAACCTGAACCATACCTACCCCACCCACTTGGGGAGACACCAAACATTTCTCCCTCCTGGGTCATTTTTGGTGCCACAGAATGCATCTCCCTCTGCTCATCTGAGATGAGAGCCTCAGTATCTCCAAAGTGCTTCTTTCCATGACAGGAGCCACCAAAATGGCCTCCTAAGGTCTCCCTGATGCCCTAGGACTTCCGTGCACGTTCTACCCACTGCAGCATGGTCAGAGGAGACCACTCTGAACTCATACTCCCGTGGCTGGCTTCCTCTAGCCTTGGCATGAAGGCCCAGGCATGGGATCCATGGCCCTGGATGCCTATGCACAGGAGGTCCCACTGGGACTCATGGTGGGTTTCACTCATAGTGATGGGGAGGTGTTGGCCTGACCGTGTCCACACTCCCTGCTGTGAGCTCAACACTGTTGGCCTTGATGGCATTTACTGGCAAGTTCCCCTGAAATAGCAGATCTGCCATGATGCCGCTGTAGTACTGAGGGCAACTACAAACAAGTTTCTGATAAGTCTTCTGGATCCAATTGTCAGCTGAAAGAAAAAGAAGAGAGTGTCAGACCCCAGACTGAGAGCACCACTCACTTCCTTGTCCTCTTCCTCCCCACCTGCCCATATCTCCAAATCTCTCTGCTTCCACCGTATCTCCAGGCTGGGCCAGCTCATTCTCCTGCCAAATCCCTGCCAAGACCATAGGATGCCATTCCCCTGTTATATGGACTCTTTGTAGCTGAGGAGGGGTGATGCATGGGCAAGTAGGTGACTCTCCTGCTCCGGGCCTCACCATAGTCAGAGATGTAGTCCCAAGCCTCAAAGTGCTCTTTCCACACCCTGCTGCTGATCCAGCGAGATAGATGCCTGGGCAGGTACATGAGCTGCCCAGTGGATTTCAGCATGACCTCCAGGGCATGGATGAAATTCAGGCTGTCAGAGCTAGGGTTATGTCCAAAGAGGCCCAACCTCTCTCCAAAAAGTGCAAAGTTGCTGGCTGTAGAGAGAATGGCATCACTGACTAAATACAGTCCTGACCTCAAGGCACCATCCCAGCCCTCTGGATGCCTCCACATGCCCGGGAACCCACCTTCTATGGTATAGTAAAAAATGCTGGGCTGGATGTCCTCAGTCAGGATTCCCTGGGCATTCTGTAGCACCTTCTTCTTCAGGGCCTCTGAGAAGTCTCTTGCCACTATGTCCACCATGGGGAGGAACTTTTGCACTGCCTTTGGGGACAGCACATTGGGGTTCAGCCACAGTCGGTTAGCGCGCCATTCGGGCCCATTCCTGCAGGGTAGAGAGTAACTGGAGTCAGCCCTAGCCCCATCCTCCTGGTTCCCGGAAGGAACTGGGTGTCACTGGGAGATGAATACACCCATGGAGGCAGGCTGCTGCAGGTCTTTGTCTCAGAATCACCTTCATGTGCTGGAACCATGGCCACTGAAATCTAAATGGGAATGAGACACGAGATTCTACTTCAAAATTGTATGAGAACTGGCTGCTGTCATTCCTGTGAATTTGCTAGCCCCATTCTCCCTACACAAATGCCTCATGCCAACCCTGCCCTGGTAGGGAGGCTTTATCTCAGACAGGAAGTTGATCATCTGTCAAACTTTGTCCAAGTGGCCCACATCATGCCCCAAAGGGAAGGGTATCTGATCTCCCGTCTCCTTGTTCTTCCCTATGGAGAATGCTGCCTCCAAATCAGTAGTATGTTCCTGTCTTCAAGAATGTCCTCATTGTGTGTAGGGCAGGGTCAAAAATCTCAGCTCTCAAAAGCTCTTAAAACTTCAAAAGTTCTCACAGTAGGGTCAGGGATTTAGCTCAGTGGCATTATACCTGCCTTGCAAGCTCAAGGTCCTGAGTTCAATTCCTAGAAAATAAAAAATGGTTCTCAACGTATCCACAAGCAACTAACCTGAGAACATGAGGGCCTGGCAGAGGTTCTCCAGGCAATGATGGGCAGGAGTTTGTACTCTGAGCCACACTCATACAAGCACACCTGCCTGATTGTATGGCTGATGCCTATAACTGCACACAATGACCACACCCACCAGTACATAGACACATCTGTGTCCATGTAGAACATGTTTACACATGTTCTATTTACACATATGCACACAGCAAACATTTATGAAAACACACAATACTCATACAAATGCAAATATGAAGTATGTATAGATTCAGATGCAAGACATACACACACACACACACACACACACACACACTGATTCCTTTACATTCATATGCCCACCCTTCTCTCTCATTTGACCTTTGATTTCCATCCCTGCCAGATGATCTCATATTAAGGCTGCACTCAGGAGATCTATTTTCTTTTTTTCTTCTTCTTCTTCTTTTTGGTTTTTTGAGACTGACCTGGAACTCACTACATAGCCCAGGCTGGTCTCGAAATCACAGTGATCCTCCTGCCTCAGCCTCCCAAGTACTGGGATTACAGGCATGCGCCACCATGCCCAACCAAGAGATCTATTTTCTTAAAGCCTGCTGTCCCAAGAGAATTCATTTCCTGACAGAGTGGTGTGACAGCCTGACTTCTCTCTCCTGCTCCCTAATGACAACCTTTTTCCAGGCATGGCCCAAATAGCCACTTTCTTCCTGCTTACCTGTCCAAGTGCCCCATCTTTCCACAGGAAGGATCTGGGTCCCAGTGCCAATAGGACCACTTAGAGCTTTCCTTTTGAGCACAAAGAAATATTTGCCTCCTGTATCCCCAACACCCCTATCTCCAGGATTCTTTCCTACAGAGTAAACGGTGCCTTATCTCTAGGAGTTAAGGGTACCTTATAGGAGGAGGGCTGCAGCCAAGTAGATAACTGGCTCTGGAGAATGTTGGCTGTGGCCCTGGGCCAGTGCCTCCCCTTGTCAGGGCCATTTCTCTGAGCCGCAGGAAGGGGAGCCACCGACCTGCAGGAGAAAATATCACCAAGTCTGTGAGGAGTGGGTGCCAACCTCATGGTGGTTTTGGTGGCCCTCCTCTCCCCAGGAAGATGCATTTCTCTACCACTTATTGCTTGCTCTTCCACCCCCAGGATATCCACAGGATGGCACCCATCTTTCCTTGGCAGTAACCCTGTCTCCACCCACCCCTACTGGGCCCAAGGTATATGTGCCTTTCCTGCCTCTTCTGTCTGTCTAGGCTGCCAATCCCACCTCCCTCTTCATCCCCACTGGCTCCTCACAGCAAGAATACTCCAGGCTTCTGCCCCCGGTGCTCTTTGTAGGCCATCCAGGGCTCCAGGTGCATGCGGCAGGGATACAGGCTCTCTGCTTGGTACAGCCGCTCAGCATCCTCTGGCAGCATCACAGAGACTATCTGTGTCCTTCCAACATCATACCTGGGAGACAATGCACAACAGTCTGTTGGATCACATCCTGTCTTTCCTGTGGGCCTTCTGCACAGCCTGAGTGCATGCAGACTGAGTCTTGTCAAGCTTCTTTTCCCTGGATTTGCTTTTGCTCCTTCAGGAAGCCCCTTCTGCTATTCCCTGACCCTCACCCACTTCAGTACTTCTGCATGCTATCCTCTGCAGTGAGCCCTGCTTTGCTCTGTTTCATGAAGACCTATGGCTTCTAGACCAAAGACTCTGGCCAGCAGCCCACATGCTCCTATATTGCCTTCCTGAGGGCAGAGAATCCCCTAGGGCTATGGTAGCACTATGTGCCTGCCAAGAGCTTGGCAAGGGCCTGGCCTCTGGCACTTCAGGAAGCTATGGTTATCCTCAGGAAGGAGCTACGGAGGTTACCTAAAAATGGGCCCCAGCTCCTGGAAGGTTCGATGCATCTCCAGGTGAATGTCCTCAATGCCTTGCTCCTTCCAAATCTGTAGCACCCTCAACCACTTGTTGCCCTGACATTGGGGTATGGCTTCAAAGGGCAGCACCGTGGCCTTGGGGGGCATAACTGCTCTGGTGCCCAGTGTCCTGGCCCCTCTCAGGCACAGCCAGGGCCCTGCCAGCCACATGTCTGCCTTCACCCTGAATGCCATTCCCACACTCCCTCCAACCTGGTGCAGCCAGAGTTTTATAGTTCTTCTGGAGGCCTGCGCTGGCTACTGATCACGTCATGGAAGGAATTGTCCCTGGACCTTGCTGAGATATCCTGGTCACGATTGTGGGCAGTCCCATCTCTGCAAGACTGCTGGTGGGCAGGACGTGAGGGCAGCAGCAGAGTCTTTGTGGGGGGCAGGGAGCCAAAGAGGCTAGGGGCCGTGCAGAGGCTTCTCCCTCTTCCCTATGTGTGGAGGAGCAAGATGGATCCAGCCTCCATCTTTCAAATAGATTAAAGGAGACCTTGAATTCTTTTTATAGACTTTATGATTTTTTTACAAATGCTTTTAATAAAAATAAATCTGAGAACTTCAAATGTATTGAAGCATAATAATTCTCCTTTGAAGGGCTTAAATTATCTAATTATAAAACAAAAGGAAACTTTAGCTCTAGCTGCTTGAAGAAACAGGAATATTTATGGCACCCAGATGAAATCTATTGTCCTATAATGGCTGTTGAGTCTCATTTATTTTTGTTCTTCTTTTATTTTTTTCAGGGGCCAGGTGACCCAGCGCTGTACACTCTGCTCTGATAAGTCTTCATTTCAGCCCAGCACTCTGAACTTCCAGTTCCCCTCCTTCACATATCTCACAGGGCTTCTAGAATTCTAAATTCTAGCTGGTAATCCTTTCACACAAATTTCCAACTTCAGGGAGAGGACTGAATTACTGAGTCTTAATTCACTCATTCTTTCACTCATTCTTTCACTAATTTAACAAGTAATTGATCGTGTGTCACCGGATTGGGAATGTCTCTGGGAAAAAGACATGAGAGCTCTGTTACTTGGCATGTAGCCCCGTGAACCCATGTAAAGAAGTTTGAGTTGCAACTACAATATTCAACAACAGTATTTCTTGGCACTATGAGAGCCTACAGCAGGAGAATTCACTTTCAGTATTTATTTTTAGAACAGCTTTTCTTCAGCAAAGACTTTGAAAGAAAGAACAGAGAGCTCCCACATGCCCTTCCCTCCCACACACAACCCCGGCTCTAAATATTCTGTACCACAGTTGCACACTTGCTTCAGTGGATGAACCCACATTGACACATAATTATCAGCCGACATTCTCAGTTTGCACAGGGTTTTGTCTTGGTGTTGCACATTCTTGGGGTTTCACTAAAGTAGAATGACAGGTCCCTACCACTAGTGTCATACAGAGTGGTTTCATTGCCTTAAACAACCTCCTTGCTCTGCCTCTTCACCCCTCTTCCTCCACGAATCCGTAGCAACCACTGATTCTTTACTCCCCATACCCTAACAGTTTCGGAACGTCATAGAGTTGGATTCATACAGTTTGTAGACTTTTCAAATTGGCTTCTTTTGCTCAGTTATTCACATTTAAGGTCCCTCCATATCATTTCATGATGTGACAGTTCATCCTGTTCTGTTCTCTGCATATACTACACTTTATCTCTCGTCTATGATTTCTTTCAAGCTTGAGCAATTATGAATAAAGTTGCTACCAGGCTTTGGGTGGATATTAGTATCCAGCTACCATGTACACATACCAAGAAACACAGTTGCTGGGTTGTATGATAAGTGTGTGTGTCTACGCTTGCCCTCCAAAGTGACCATACCATTTCACATTCCCACCAGCAATGACTGGAAGATTCTGAGCTGCACAACTTTGCCAGTATGTGGTGGTGTCAAGTACAGGATTTTTGTCATTCTGGTAGCTACATAATATTGTCTCATTATTGTTTTAATTTGGATTTCTCTAATAACATATGATGTTGCATATTGTTTCATAGTTTATTTTCCATCTATGTATCACCTTTGATGAGAGACCTGTCAGTATCTTTTGCCGCTGTGATCCTTTTCTTCTTATTAAGTTTAAGAGTTCTTTTATCAGATGTGTCTTTTGCAAGCATTTTCTCCCACCTCTGGTGCACATGCTCATTCATTCTCGTGACAGTGTCTTCTGCAGAAGTTTCTAATTTTCATGAATTCATGCTTATCAATTCTTTCTTTCATGGTTTGTGCTTTTGGTGCTATACTGAAACATTTATCACCCAACCCAGAGAATCCAAATTCTCTCCTTTGAAATCCGCTAGTTTTATAGTATTAAATTTTATATTTAGAGCTACAGTCCAGCTTGAATGAATTTTTCTGAAGTATGAAAGGTATTTGTCTTCTTTGTTTTTGTTTTTGCATGAGGATGTCCAGTGGTTCCAGGACCATTTGTTGGAAAAACTTCTCTCCTTTGTGCTACCTCTGCTCCTTTCTCCAGGCCAATTGGCATATTTGTATAAGGCTATGTGAAAGCCCTCTATTCAATTCAAGCAACCTATTAGTCCACTCTTTCACTGGTACTGTACTGTCTCTATTATTATAACTTCATAGCAAATCTTTTCTTTTTTTTGTGCTACGGATCAAACTCAGGACCCTGTTCTTGAAAGGCAGGAGGTGGCACCACTGAGCTAAATCCCAGCCCCATAGCAAATCTTGTAGGTGATGGTTCTCTGCCATGGTTCTATTTCAATACTGTGTTAGTCATTCTGGATTTTTTTTTTTGTCACTCTTTGTAAACATTGGGATTAGAAGGCTGATCACTTCCTGACATTTTGAGTGAAATAGCTCTGAATTTAGAAATCAAGTTGAGGAAAACTGTATTGTGACTGTATTGAGTCTCTCTACCTATGAATATAGATAATCTTTCCATTTATTCAGTTCTGCTTTGATTTTTTTTTTTTTTTTTTTTTTTTTTTTGGTACTGGGGATGGAACTCAGGTCCTTGTGCTTGCAAGGCAGGTGCTGGAACCACTAAGCTAAATCCCCAGCCCTCTTCTTTGCTTTCTTTCACTAGAGTTTTATAATATTCGTCATATAGATCCAACACACATTTTGTTTTATATATAATTACCAATGTATCTTGGATCACATTTTAAATTTCCAATTCCAGTGCTGGGTGTCGTGGCACATGCCTGTAATCTTGTACTTTGGGATCTTGTACCTTTACATGATGCATCTTGGTTCTTATTTTCTCCCCATTCCCCTGCCTCCCTTCCCCCTTCCACCCTTCCCTATTTACAAAGACTTTGTTTCCATTTTTTTTCCTTTTCTCTTATTTTTTCCTCTTCCCTTTTTAACCTTTCCCCTACCAGTACCATTTGCCCAACACCTTTAGACCTTTTCTTCCTATTACAAAAAATAAATGATATATTTTGACCCTTATTTACACTTTCAGTTTCTCACACCAGAGAAACTATTCAGTATTTACAAATGTGTGACCTACTAATTTCACTTAAGAGTATGGCCTCTATGTGCATCCACTTAGCTATAAAACTCTCTGGTTTCTCATTCTTTATGGCTGAGTAATACTCCATTTTATCAAAAACACACATGTGCACACACACACACACACACACACATCTTCTTTATCCAGTCTCCAGTTGATGGGCAATTAGGCTGTTTCCAAGTTTCAGCTATTAAAAACTGTGCCGCATAAACATGGGTGAGTATATTTTGCTGTGGTATGATTATTTTAATTCTTTTGGGAAGATATCCAGCAGGGGAATAGCTGGATCAAATGGGACTTCCAATCCTAGCTATTTAAGGTATCTCCATATTGATTTCCATGGTGGTTGCACCAATCTGTTCTCCCATCAACAATGGAGAAAGGCTCCTTTCTCCCTATACCCCCAGCATTTGTTATTGGTTGATTTCTTTTTTCCTCATTGAGTTTATTGGTACATTTTAGGTATACAGTACAGTTATATTCATTATTGCCATCTTGTACCTTTACATGACAGGTCTTGGTTCTCAATTTTTTCCCCTTGTCCCTGCCCTCCCTTCACCCCCTCCTTCCCTACCCATTTACAAACACTTTATTTCTATTTTTTCATTTTCTCATATTTTTTCTTTTGGTTGATTTTTTTGTTAGCAGCCATTCTTTCTGGGGTGAGGTGGAATCTCAGTGTCGTTTTTCATCTGCATCTCTGGAATGACCAGTGATGTTGAATATTTTTTCATATATTTATTTGCTGCTTTTAATTCTTTGAGAAATTTCTGTTCATTTCATATGCCCATTTTTGAATCGGGTCTTTATATTTGAGGGGCCTGATTTTTTTTTTGAGTTATTTATATCTAGATAGTATACCTTTGTCTGAGGGACAGCTAGTAAAAAAGTTTTCCCACATTGTAGTTTGTCTCTTAGTTCTGTTGGTGGCTTCTCTTGCAGTACAGAAGCTTTTTAAAAAGATGAGACCCCAGTCTGCACTCCCACCAACAATGGAGAAGGGTTCCTTTCTCCCCACAACCCCGCCAACATTTTTTAATCATTTGATTTTTTGATAGCAGCCATTCTTTGTGGGGTGAAGTGGAATCTCAGTGTTGTTTTCATCTGCTTCTCTCATATGACCGGTGATGTGGAACATTTTTTCATATATTTACTTGACACTTTTCCTTCTTTGTCTGAGAAATGTCTGTTCATTTCAGATGCCCATTTTTTAATCAGGTCTTTATATTTGAGAGGGCTGAATATTTTGAGTTCTTTATATATTCTAGATAAGAGTCCTTTGTCTGAGGAGCAGCTGGTAAAATTTTTTCCCACATTGTAGGCTGTCTTTTAGTTCTGTTTATGGTTTCTTTTGCAGTGCAGAAGTTTTTGATAAGATGAGATCCCAGTTGTTGATTCTTTCTGCTAGTTCCTGTGCTACTGAAGATTTGTTTATATAGTCTTTTCCTATGCCAATGTCTTCAAGAGTTCTGCCTAACTTATCTTCCAGCAAGTTTAGTGTTTCTTTTTTAATATTTAGATTTTTAATCCACTTGGATTTTAGTTTAGTGCATGGTGAAAGAATGCAGACTGGTGCAACCACTATGGAAATCAATATGGAGACACCTCAAAGAGCTGGGACTAGAGGCTCCATTTGACCCAGCCATCCCTCTGCTGGGTATCTTTCCAAAAGAATTAAAAGAATCATATCACAGTGATAT